CCCAGTAGTGTTTATGCTACATGTAACATTACCCTTTGCTGGTGTCCGCACTGGCAGGCTAAAATTAGACTTCCTAAATGTCAGTACAGCAGTTTGCTACTCCCTTACTTTAACAAGAGCGTGCTACTTTAATTTGTTGTGAATTTCTTTGTCTATGTTACTCTAAACAGCAAATAAGCAAAATCTTACTCAGATGCTTAAGTACATATTTAAAGGATGCACGCATAATGATGCATATTTTGTTTATTCAAGTTTCAATCTGCCACTGATCAAAATAATAGTAAGAATACAAAGTGGCAAATGGATTAAAGCTGATGATTCTGAAAGCAGCTTTTGTACTACTAATAATAGCAATAATGGTAGTTTCTGGTTACTGAAGTACTTTGCATTGCTTTAAACAAATTTGATCGTATGTGCCTGAGAAGTATTGATTTTTTTTCTTTAAATCTTGGCAGAAATAATGCATAAATGTTGATTTGCAAAGATATAATATTAACTTCTAAAGCATATGTGCACATTTCTATAACTTTTAAGCCATTTTTGATGAACAGCATTCTTTAAAAGAAGTAAAACTATTCTTATCCATTCACATCCCTCACGTGCAATTTGTGATGGAGCAGGGCATGATAAAATGTATACAAAAATGATGGAGAGTTTTATCTCAAAGTCTTCTATATGTGTAAGAGTTGATCTGTATGTCCCAGCGTGCAGTCTGATGTGGCAGGGGCATGAGAGGCAAGAAAAGGTATGGATCTGTAACATCCCCACATTTCCCTGTGTGTGCGAGGCATGTCTATGACCCTGTTTATGTAGTATGGTAACAACCACGCAACGGTGCATTTTATATCTCATTCAGCCACTGGCTGTTTACATCTTACAATTGTGCTTCTTTCTGGTCCTATAAAAGCTTTGGAAGACTAGTTCTGTCTCGCCTGGGTTTCTTTTCTGGTTTCCTAAAAAAAACCCAGTATCTCAGCCCATTTTTTCCTACTCTAGCCGGACTCCATCTTGCTCGTGTGCTGCCCCTGTCCAGGAGAGAGCAATCCCTCTGCCCTCACCCTCGTGAGTGCTTACACACAGTTTCGCTGAAAACACTATCTTGCCTACTCTGGCTTAACAACAAACAGAAAACAAACCTCTTCATTTACTGCTTTACACACAGAGCAAAACAGAAAACACGTTGCGTAGCAAACTTTTAGTTAGTCCCCGTCCCTGAGAAATCCTGTTCCTGACATAGACCCTGTTTGTTTTTGCGCTCTGGTAGATGGCTTCCAAATCCAAAGCTTTCCATAAAACGGACATTCTGAAACAGCACACCTTTGATCTTTAAAGTTAAAATATTAGCCTGTGATACAGCAAGTATATACACATGCACCTTATTCCCAGCATATGAATATTTGGATAGTATTCATGGACACGGTTCTTTGCAATATAATTTCCTTAGATACTAAAAAGAGTACTGATAACTGTCACAGACCTTGCTATCTTTCCTCCTCTTCCCATCCAGCAAGCAGGACGCTTATTTTTGCATGGAAATTAGAGCTGGAAGACAGCTTAGTCCATCTCCCTGCTAACAGTCGTTTGTTACTGATAGCGTATTTACTGGAACTTTGTCCAGTATACTTATCGCATATTACCAACCACAGAGTAGAGCTTACTGTCTGTCTTGGAACACATATCATCCTTACAAAGTTGCTTCTGATACTCTGCCTACAATATCCTTTACTTATATTCATCACAATGCTTTAATCATAATCTCTTGCACCAGCCAAAATAATCTTTTTCTCCTCAGGCTCACATCTCGCAATACACACAGCTCTCCATATGTTCCAGTTAAATTACAGTTCCTTACCTTCTACTTTGAAGATAGTAAGGTGAGGTCTGCAGTGAAAAGCACCCAGCGCGTTGCCGGCACAGTTCATCCAAAGACCCTGGAAAACCCAGGTTGCAGTGATAACAGATGATGCTCGACTGGTGACTTTCCACTCATTCGATGCAGTAGCAGCAATAGCAGCTCCCAGCCCACAGAAGCAAAATATGAAAGCTATAATCTGTATTCCTAGCATGTTCCTCTCTAACCCAGGGACTTAGTAATGCCACTGTGCGGAGAGAAAAGTACTTCAGTCATGTGAGTAAGCAAAAAGGCATAACATAAGCAAATTATACTTGAACAAGTTCAGTAACACTTGCTACAGAAAGTTAATGTAGCTGAAAGAAATTGCCATGCTTGAGTGATTTAAGAAAGGCCTTAGGCATTACAAATGTTTAGAAAGAAAGACAAGGTACAACTTTATGGGAGCTAGTTGCTAGTACTTACGTACTAATTTCTAATTGTAAAAATTAATGGAAATGTTTTAATATTTTTTTCAATTAAGGTATTCCAGTTAATGCTTAATTTTTAGTTAATTGGAAACTTACAACCATTGCATCTAGCAAAATAAGTTCAGAGTCCAAACTGTACAGCGCTATTTAACAGATTACCATAACATTTTAGAAGGATCACACAGCACTTGAAAAATAAATTCTTAAATGGCTGTGAAATTAATTCGGCCATAACTAGCCGCCATACAAGCAGCTCTAAAACAGTAGCATCTTGGAGGCAGTGTCTGCGGATGCACTTGTAGAATAGCAAATCTGGAGCAACAACAGAAACTGCAAGCGGTCCCTGGGCAGTGATGCAGCTGCAGTAGTCAGAAGAATGAACCTTGTGTAGCCCCCACCGAGACTCCTTTTTTGGTCAGTCTGGAAAATTTACTGCTTTTTACGGTATGTCTGCTCCGCACGATGAACATAGCGCAGAAACATCTGTCCCACCAGTGACTGAGGTCCTGTGACCTCATGCCATGAAAAATCCTCAAAGAATATCACTGATTTAAGAAAATGTCATCTTTAAAGTAGTAGGCACTGACAGCACCCCACTGAAATAGCTATTCTACTTCCAGATCCTGAATGTACTATCACTACTGGTATGGGACCTACACACAGTTTTACAGATACGTGTGGCTTTCACTCTTTTAAGATGCCAGTTTCCAGCTTTATTCATGCCTCTTCTCATTCTCTGGTCCTTTTTACCTTCTCTCTGAATAAGGAGCGTGTGTCTCTTCTCTTTGGTGTTACTGTATGCTGTTTGGTGAATGAGATCACCCTGGATATTGCGCATACACTGTCATTTTCTACAATGAGAGTAATCTATTTTTTTTTCCCTTGGGTGCTTCCAGTGTTGCTTCTCCCTGTTACAACTGTGATAAATACCACTCTGAACTTCGGCACCAGAGTTTTTCTGTTGACTTTTCAGAGCTGATGGAAGGTTAATCAAGGATGTTAAATATCATTGACATTCCATGTAAAGAGCAGGAGGAGTTTTACTGAGACTCTCCTGGTGAACCACCACCTGATACTTCCATTTTAACCAGCCTTTGGCTGAGCGCTGAGAAGTAGGACCCAGAAGTATGATTATACAGACCAGAGAATTACACTACAAGAAGGAATTTCTTTTCAGAGTAATTAGTAGGCTCACATCCCACACATCAAGGGCAAATAGAAAGCTTTTTATTAACACAGCCAGCTTGAGAGACACAGAGAGCGGATTTGCTACAGAGCAACAATATAGCAGGTTGTTTTAATGATAAGGACAATATTACACAGACAGGAAGCAATTTCTCCTTGCTGTCTAATAATACAGTAACATATTTTTCTTACGCCAAGGGTCAACCTTCATATAATCCTTCACATATTTTTTCACTAAATTTGAAAGGGTATAGAGGAGAATACAGAAATAGGTCCATCTTTGAACCAGATTCCTGAGAACTAATATTATTTTTTTGTTCTACTTGTGCCATGCAAAACGCTGGGGTTTGGGGGTTTTCTTTTTTGTTTGTTTATCAAAGGCTGTTTTAGTTCACAGAGGAGACTAAAAAGAGATGTCATTAGGTACCTTTCTTTTTTTTAAACCAGCCCAGTGACAGTGATGTGGGCTGAGTGCTCAGAGAAGCTCGAAGACATGTTTTACATCTGATGCTAAATTCAAGCCTTGTTCTGGACTTGCCCTGAGTGCTCTCCTCACTGATCCGGAGAAAAAAAAACCCAGAAGCTTATTTTGGCTGGAAAAGCAAAGGTGTCTGGATGCAAACACTGTCCCATCCCTCTCTGCTCTGCCTTTTGCTGTGCATAGCAGTGTGCCTTACCAACATGGTCTCCGAGGAGCTGCCCAGGCTCAGCAGGACAGGGTTGCCTCGTTGCTTCTTAGTGACATGGGCCAAAGGCAGTGGTGCCTCCTCAGTAAGACCTCGCTCGCTCTTTTGAACCAGTACCATGCTGGGAAGAGAAACTGCAACGCAGACTCCTAAGTCATTTTTCCTTCTTACTCTTAGATGTTGGTATACAAAGGTCCCATCCAGTGCACATTCACTCATGACTGTCATGCTCATGGGACACTGAACGCCACTTACTTTAGTGGAAAGTGCCTGCAGGCACCACTTGAACTGTAGACTACTCTTAGGGCTTAAGGAGGACTTCTTGGTTTCTCGGCCTTTATCCTGATTCTAGTCTAGTGCACGACTTTGTGGAATTCATGGTTACAAGCACTTCACCCTGCATTGTTTCTAGGCAGTTAAGTGTGTGAGTGATGAATAAATTAAACAGATACTTAAGTGATAAGAAAGAAGTAAGCAGTCCTGTTTACAACCCTCATTTCTTCTATAAACTGTCAGGAAGTAAGTTAATCAGTCATTTAAGAAGTTCAAGGCAAAGTTGAAAGTTAACCTGTTAATGGTGTTTTCCATTATATCAAAACTTCTTTTCTCTGTTACTGAGCAGACAAAAGTTGGGAAACATCTGGGAACTTAAGGAGTGTTTAAATACAAAGTTGGAAAAGGGAAAACATTGCTACAGGCCATTGTGGAACCATTTCCCCGAAAACTCCACAAATATACTAGCTGATCACGTGACTCTGTTTAATTGAACACTGTGTCAGTAACATGTAATATATCTATTACTACTGATGTTGTCTTTTTAAATCAGTTCAATGCCAGTTTTTAAGCACAGCTGACACCTTCGCAGCAGGGCAAGAATGTTTATACAGTCAAGCTGTAACCTCCAGTTTGCCATTTCTACTTCAGCCTATGTCAATTGTTGTAACCTCTTCCGAGCTGGAGCTGTTTTGGAGGCTGGTATGTTGGCTAACATAGATCTGACTACTGACAGTATGTTTCCCTCATGGAGACATACACGCTTACCTAAACTGAATTAGTTGTGGGGAAATCTATGGTAAAATTTAAAAAACAAAAAAAGGACTAAATCAATCCAGGTGTTAACTCGATAAACAAAAGGAGACCTCTGCAAAGGAGGTAGCTAAGCTAACATGGAGAGAGTGTGACTAGTTATTTATCTAAATAACTAGTAATGCCAAAGATATCCCTCTGCAGAGTGGGTGGGTGATGCAAATTGATCCTGAGCACTGTGGAGGAAATTATGAGAGGCCTAAACAACCACGAAGAAGTTGGCCAAGCAGTAAAACTAGAAGTTACAGAGACTGAATAAGTATCTCAAGACTTCTGGAAAAGCTGAAAAAGTAAAAGCATTGTGTAAAGTGGTGAAGAAATCAAAGAGCCTGGAGACATCACTGCTCAACACAGTCAAGGGCTAAGCTGTGTGGCAGTACGGCTGGGCCAGTAACGCAAACACAAAATGAGTTCCTGAGAACTGGCAGTGAAGTCTGAGATGGTGTTGCAAGTAGGAAGGGTGTATTCCAGTTGGGTGCCAAATCCTGCTGTCTCTTCCAGATGCATGCACCCTAGAAATTCTGGGTAAACAGGGTAGCAGGGAAAGACTGAAGAAGCACCACCTGGAGAGAAATTTCAAGCAGCAATGAAATCACTGGAAATGGGAAAGTTGAGGGAAAAGATAATTTCACAGTTTGCTATAGCAATCAAAAGGACAATATCACATTGTAGTGGTTTGAAGCAGTCGCAGTTTGAGATGTTTGCTGCTGGCTTTGTTACTCACAAAGTGCTGGGTGACACGCACAGTTAGAGCAGGTAGTCTCAGAGTCTTGTGCTCATTCCAAATTTGGTGCTTTTTATTGAGCGCTGCAGTCACAATACAATAATATATTAGTGTTACATACTATAGTATAATCCTATTATTAATAGTACAGTTGTTATACTGCTGTAGAACAGAAATAGAAACTTCACATACCCATCACTAGGAGAATTACTTTGGTAAAATATGGATAGAGCGGGTAACTCAATTCAGGGTTTACACTAACTTCATACAAGCTAGGTATACATGTGTTTAAGAATATACATGAATATTTATGTTTATATACATATGTATTTAATATCTATACAGGTACAAGCTATGCTTTGTTAAATTTTAAAGCACTTTATGTTAGTTGTTTAATTGGCAAGCTACTTACTCATGTACATTACTTACATGAGCACTTTTTGAATATTTGCCTAAGAATGGGTGGGACTTTGAACAACTGGTTCAAATCGGTGTTTGGTGGGAGAATAAAAATGCACAGGATTAACCTTGTTTTTCCTTCACATTTCTTAACTGCACATTAAGGATAAGAGGTGGATTTGAAAATGTTACTTTTGCATGATCTAGCATTAGACTCCTTAGTTTATGCTGTTGACACTGGACACTAGCAAACATACTTGGATTGAAGACATTTGCTAGCGTTAAGCATATTGTTATTGTTGGCACACTCTGCCTAGACTTGCAGTAAGTGGCAGAAAGCCAAAATGGTTGCATCCACATTAAACTACAAAACACAAAACACTAAAATGCAGTGAAGTTGAAATGGCAGGACAAGTCATATGTTTGATCAGTGCTGAAAGCCAGGGTGAAATTCAAGGTCATTGTGCTTTGCTGAGAACTTCTGAATAGACATGGATGAAGTGATGGGTTCAATGAAGACATCGTGTTTTTTATAGA